ATAAAGTGATGGTCAATTACACTATCATTGGTAAAAGAATAGCCAAGAGTTGGCAGTGGGTGGTGATGACTAGCTGCCTTCCCTCTAGTCTTACACTGCTAAATTAGGGATGGCTAGCGCAGATAGCCCTCATGTAGCTTTGCGTGAAATTCAAAAACAAACAAACACACACAACTACTACATGGTTCTTTTTATGTTAACTTTATTCATTTTGAATTTGAGTTGTGTTTTTCAGATTGATGGATCATTGTATTCTAACTCTTTACAATGTTTCATGTGATCATAGCATGTTATAATATATTTGTTACTTCTTGTTCATTTAACATTCTGCTACAGTAGCATATGATGGCCTTAAATATAACGTATATGCTGAAATAAAAATATTAAATTGTCATGCACATTTATATTTTGAACTTATACAAAACACCAGTGGTGTGAACATATTCTTCAATTACCTGACATTTTGGAGTCAGTTATTGCCTTAAAGGAACTCCACACCAACAGCAAAAACAATTATGTATTACTCTGTATGAAAAACAGTGAAGTCCTTTAAAAGGTTTCCCATTCCTTGTGATATTTTTGTATTTAAAATGTAGATTGCAAACTGTTTTTGAACAATTAGCTTTGAAAATTACAAAATTGGCCCCACATGTTATTGTCAAACTACATGAAAATAAAACTGCAGTAAAAATAGAACAGTGAATTTTATTATAGTTACTGAATACTTCTTTTTAGGTTTCGGTTATATCTTACCTACGAAACCCAGCCATGAAACCACGTCATTGGGATTTGATTGAAGGTGTCTTACAACAAAAACTAACTTCTGATGGACCTCTTACTTTAAAGAAATTAGAAAATTTAGGTGTTTTTACCTTTCATGAAGCTATTCAAGAAATATCTAGTCAAGCAAGTTCTGAAAGCAGTCTGGAAGTGATCTTAAAAAAGGTATGATTAAAGATGTTTCTCTGATAATGTAGATTTTTTCACGTATGCAAATTTACATCTCCATGCCTAACAAAGTATTAACATTTGAAACTACTGAAGAAAATCACAGAAAGGAGAACTGGTAAGATCAGTGACCAAAAGTCAGTATCAAAGTTGGCATTTAAGTAGTATCTCATTGAAAACCATGGAAAAAAAATAGAATTCTTTGGCACCAATTCCTGGTCAGTGGGATCAACAGAAATGAAAGGTTGGAGATTGCATTTTATTCATAGAGGGTGCTTTTGTAAAAAGAAAAAATATATATTATTACATATGCAAGTAAGATTATTATAAAAAGTAATTTTTAATATATATGTTTGACCTTTCTAATGATAAGAGAATGTCATGTAGATTATTATTCAGTTTGAATATTTTGACTTTTTTTTGCAGTATTATTTCTGGTTAAAACCAAGAAATGTAATCTACTAATGAAAAAAGTAAACAAATTCTAGAATTTTCTCAAGATTTACCATAATGCCAAGTCTATAGTATTGAGTGTTCAAACTAGATTTTAGCAAAAAAAAACTAGTTTCTAAGTTATTTCGTGATTTATCAAAGTGTGTAAACAATACAAGCTGAAAAGGGTTTGAAATACAGGAGTAAAAGGTCAAGAAATAACACCTCTCTCTTTACAAAATGTAAGTAACTGCCAATTTGCTCCTGTTGATCCTATTCATTTCAATAAGATACTGGAATACTAACTCTAATATTGACTCTTAGTCATTGATGTTGCCATTCTTCCTTTGTTTACATATTTTGATTTACATGTATACAGTTTCTAACTAGTTTTACTTTTAATGTGTTTTTCACTCGTTTTTTTAAAAATGAGACATATTCTTGTAAAGTCACGGAAATGACTTCACTTGTAGCATTAAATATTGAAAGAAAGGCTTTGAAACCTCATTATTTTTGTAGTACAATGTAATGGAAAAAAATAAATATCATACTTAAAACTTCTGTATCTTATCACTTAAATTTAGTAATTCCCAAAAACAACAACAAATACAATGAATTAATTCTGGGGTTTACAAGCTGAAAGCTGTAGTTGAGGGATCCTGCCAAACGTTATATCCTTAATGCCCATTGAAGTCAAAACTCAGATTTGTGGTATCCAACATATGGTGGCTTAGTTGGCTGAAGCATCTGCATTGTTTGCAGAATTCTGGGTTTAAATCCCTCCCAAGCTTAATTATGATCACTTTTTTTTTTACTAAAATGAGAAAGGTTTGGTTTGTTTTGGAATTTTGCACAAAGCTACATGAGGGCTATCTGCACTAGCTGTCCCTAATTTAGCAGTGAAAAACTAGAGGGAAAGCAGCTAGTCAACACCACCCACTGCCAACTCTTGGGCTACTCTTTTACTAACGAATAGTGGGATTGATTGTCACATTATAATGCCCCCATGGCTGAAAGGGCAAGTTTGGTAGAACAGGGATTCGAATTCGTAATCCTCAGATTGCGAGTTAAGCATCCTAACCACCTGGCCATGAAATGAGAAAGGAAATAACTACATTTTTTACATAGAATACACTAGTTATTTGAAAATAAAATCATAGAGCCATATAATAGAAAATTATAAATATCAAAAAGGATTAAGGTGGGATATTCATACATACATATTTGAGATACAGGAGCAGAGGACATAATATGTTTGTAGCTATATAAAAACAATGATCCCGTTTAAGTAATCTTTTGATGTAAAAATTCAGGTACAATATGCTACATTAATCAAAGGTATTTTACATTGAGCTGATAGGTCAAAAGTATTTTTAAAAATGATTGAGAATATTACCAACAATAAAATCATCTCATAACCTTTGCATTTAAAACTATAATTCTGTAATAAATGTTGAATGAGGATTACATGTAAATAGAATTATTTGAAAGCACAGTATCAATTATTGACTACATGTATGAAACTATATGATTTAAAAATTGAGCAAATATTTTGAAATTTTAATATTTACTTTTAAATTTTTTGTAAAGAAAAGAAAAATCAGTTATGAGTTGTATTAACCTTGCTATGTTTACTTTCGAATCTGCACCAGATTTTTAGCTGAAGCTGTATCGTTCTAATGTTGTTATATATGAATGGATGGTAAAACTTATAGTCTATCACAAAGTAATCCTGAATTAATTTATAGCTAAACTGAAAATTATTTTCAGTATATAGGTACCACAACATGACATTTGATATTCTTAATCAATAAATTGAAAACAAACTCTAATAATGTATAAAAATAATGATTATAGTATCTCATTGACAGCGGGAAGCACAAAAAGTCTCATTGAGTTTCTATTATATTCTTCTAACTGTAAACCCATACTGGGCCAACAAAGAAACATTTGTTAAAAATCATCATTTGTGTTGTATGTCACAAAAAAACACCAGTCTATAAATCATGCTTCACTGTCATAAAATGTAATGTACCAGAATAATTGATATCATATAAATGCCTGATATAAATAGCATTTTGACCAAGGCTTTTTACGTTGCATGTCAAGATGATGTTGTGAGCCCCTATATTGAGGAAAAAGCCTTGTTGGCAGGCAGTGTGGAGCACACAAGTTGTACTGTTGAGATGCTATTGTATTTTTTCTTACTAGCAAGTGAAAACCCGTATAAGGCCAGCAAAGAAATATTTGTTAAAATTATGTTTTATTTTGTAATGTGATTTCACACAAACTGCCAAAGTATAAATAATTTTTAAAAACTTTAGAATTAGCTGCCAGTTTTTAGTAACTACAATAAAATTCCATCCACATTTTTGTTCATGCATTTTAAAATAAAGAGGAACTTTTAGTAGTTATAATTACAGTATCAACAATCAGGACGTTAAAAACTCTGCCCTAACTAGGACATGGCTCACACTCCTGTACTCATCCTGATACTCTAACAACAAAACATTTATGTCCCACACAAATAATTCCATTCTGACCATCATAATGCTATTCTCAAACAAGGCTCATGACACAATACATCATCTCTGTGTCCCCAACACACAGCATGCTATGTTGAGCCAAGTATTTACACAGATGGTTTAATTTAGTATCTACTCAGCTCAGGTGGCCTTCAGGAGTAGGAAGAATGTATTTGTCACTATATTGCTCTAATTGGGTCTTGAACCTTACCTATATAACATTCTGAGGCTAGTATTACACCAACTGAATTACCAGAATTCAAGTCAAGAAGATAACACCTGTTCTGACCAACCATTACAACAGTGATCACATTTGTCACCTTAATGATCCATGTTGTCTATTAGAACTAAGAAAGCTAGGCTAGAACTTGAATAAATAATTTTTTCTAAATAAAATTAGCATTTAATGATATGTTATAAGTTAAAAAATCACCAAAATGCATGCAATTAAAAGTATGTTTTTCAAATTCTTTTATCTCGCTATCATATTTTTGATACTTAGTTTTTTTTGTATCTGTGCAGCTAATTTTGAAAAATACAACTGAAAATTATACAAGTGAAAAAATGTATGTTAATATTTAAAATTTACAAGTCTTTTTAAGTTCAGTATGCCAAATCTGGAATCTGAACAATCTTTTTGACTTTATAAGTTAACAATGTAATGCTTTCAACTCCAAACTGTTTTCTTTAGGCTTAATCTTAATTTTCTTGAATTCTTTTCTTAGGTGTAACAACAGATACGTATGAAGATTTTGAACTGAATTCTTCATCTCTGTGTTTACTAGGAACTAATCTGATTTTCTTGGCACTACTGTTATGCTTGAAAGTATCTACTGTGTCTGTTCCTATCCGTAGACTGTGTAAATATATTTGCTGGCCTATCTTGTGTGTGTCCCTGTGAATACTGACTGTTACTTCTTTTCTATGTACTTACCTGTGAAGATCTGTACTATTTTCTACAAAGTGTGTTCTTCAGTAAAAGAACTAATTATTTCCCAATGTGCTCATATCTGAAGGCTACAGACTCTTATCTGTATTTGTCTTGGAAACTCAATACAAAAGTTCTAAACTAATTTTTATAATGACTATACTTCGAAATATTTACGTTTATTTTTTTATTTAATAAAAATGTATGTTTATTTTTGATGCATATAATTCTACTGTGATAGTGAATTTGAAGATAAAGACTTGTATAGGTATGTCATTTTTTCAACTAGCAGTTTTTTTTAATAGTTTTTACATATCCTCTCTCATCTCCCAAAAATTGTAGTCTTACTTAACCATGTTTTTTATTTTAAATGTGCCTTTTATTATTAACTGCACTAATTTCCCTTCCAAATTTAAAGTTGTTTATCTTGAATTAATTTTCATAATATTACATGTGTTATAATATTTTAAATTAAGCCAATAAAATATATGGGGATAATTATCAAATTGAAATTAAAAAAACTACAATAGTAATTTTTTCTGTTAGGTCTATGAACTTGAAATAATAGTAAAATTAACCAGTTTTCAGACATAAATATTTGTCACATTTAGGGTTAATGAGTAAATCAAAGTTGTGGTATCCAAGATAAGCCTATGTTGAATTTACATTCTGTGATTAAGTGTTATGCACCTTTTCTCATTTTTTTCTGACAGCTAATTAATCCATTATATATCTGGCCACCAATCCACACAGTCACAAATACATCAAGTTAATTTCTTCATTTAGTAATAAATTTTAAAACATATGACAACAATATGTGTTTAAAGCAGATATGAACAATTTCCACTAATTGAGCAGAATTCATCAAAAAAGTCTTACTTGAGAATGTCATACATTTGTTGAGGAAATAATGGGAGGTGGTGATAATTATTCAGACATCCATTCAGTATATTGTGGTTTTTCTTCTGTGATTAATATTTATTTGTTTTTTTTAAATGTCAGCATATTTTAAATTACTTAATACTGACTGGAATATAACGCACATTTTTGTGACTGTAAAAATTAAATGACCATTAAATTTTGGAAGATTTGAAAATCTTCTAATTTTCCCAAAAGTTTGGCTTTAAGTCTGTACATATTGTTTCAAGTATTAAAAAAATACTCAGTTACCTAATCTTTGTATGTAATAAAAACAAGGTCCTCAACCTAACATATGAATGGACAGATGTAGTAAATCGTTGTAGGTAGGAAGAAAAACATAACATGACATTAAAGGACACCAAAAGGTCTATCTAAACTGTCTTATCCCATGAATTGAACTAAACAATTAAAGAAAAAAAACACCTCAAAGCCAGCCATTATTATTCAAATATTTATCAAACTCTCTCTCTTAAGCTCCCATAAATGAACTGCATCCACCATGTCTGAAGGTAAACCATTCCAGAGGTCAACCACCCTTTTAGAAAATAAAGCTGTCTTAGATGACTTCTTCCATGCCAAAAGTTATATTTGTGTCCCCTAGTCTTACCTTTCTCACTATTAAATATGAAAAAAGAAGATACACCAACAATATCAATTCCTTTAACAATCTTAAAGATGCTCAATAAGATTCCCTCCAACTCAAAAGAAAACAAGTTCAGAGATCTTAACCTATCTTCATATTATAACCTTTCTATCTCAGGTATCATTCTAGTAGCCCTTCTCTGAACCCTTTCCAACAATTCAATGCCCTTTCTCAGGTAAGGAGCTCAAGCCTGAACAATATACTCCAAATATGACTTAACCAGTGACCTATACAATGACATTATAAAGTGTTTTAGACTTGCACTCAATTTTTTTGTAGATACAATCTATAATCCTATTTACCCTGCCACTAACTAGCAACAGTACATTGTTTGGATGGCTTAAGAGATGGATCAACCAGAATATCAAGAAAAGATTTTGTGAGAATACAGACAAAACAAATACATTTTTTAAACTAAAGATGAACAAATGAATGGTTGATTGTCTGATGGTAGGACTATTGCATTGTGATTTGTTTGTTTCAATGAGTGTTGTTCCACTAGTTTTTTTTGTTCAACATTTCGGGCAGATTCCTTTTATCAGGCAGTAAAGACCATGTTACAGTAGAATATATATGTATAATATATATTGAATTTTATACTGTGTCAAATTAACCTATCAGTAATTATTAACGTATCACTCAATGTCTAACAGTTGCTGTGTAATCTAACCTGAAAACTTAATTATCATAGTTTTTTCAGGGTATGCTGTTTGAGGTACTTGCAGAACAATTCACTAGTTTTGATGTATGTGTTGATGGTTTTAACATCTGATTTCCAGTCTCTTCATCAACATGCTTTCAATAGTTTGTACTACTGCCCTGTATAAGATGATACATGGACTACCAAAAAACTGGAGGATAAAATATTGGAAAATATCCATAATAATAAGTTTTCATTGATCATTGATGAATCAACAACTAATAACTATTAAAATCATTGGATGTCTCAGTTGATTATCTTTCCCCTAAAGCTACACACATTTAAGTCAAACACAATGAACCACTGAGTATGATAAAAATTGATAGTGAGTCCTTGTATAATGAAAGTGTTAAGCTTATTGAAAAAACAAAGATTTATGCACATGGCAGAACTCAGTGTTAGTACTTGTGGACAAATAACATTATTTATAGGACTAAAGAATGTATTAAAGACGAGGTTAAAAGAGAAGTTGACCCCAACTTCTTGACATATATGGGGTTATAAACACATAAAGACTGTGGTAATCTAAGTTATTTTTTGTATTTCCTTGGCTCAGAGTTAAACTCAAGACATCTTATTTATCAGGCAAATGCTCTATGGTCAGATTTTTATGTATATGGACCAGATTCTTTACAGCAAGTGATAACTTTCAACAATAAACAGACAATACACAGTCCACTTGTTTTAGAAAAATATATTAAAACAAGTTAAACGTATATACAAATGTTAGTTACAATGTTATGTCACAGTTGTATCCAGATCTTTAAATAATTGTCTCTTTTTTTTCAAATTCCACACAGGCTGGTTCAATTACTTTAGAACATAGTTTTATAAGATTAATTATTCTTCCTGCTCTGTTATTACAATACAGTCTGTGATAATTTCCTTTAAAAATTGCCACTATCCACTGTTTATGGCTAAACTCACAATCACGCAGTCTAGATCTAGCTAACTATATTTTTGACACATATTTATATCCCAACAGAGGTCTAGAACATTTCACACACTACTAGATATTATGATAAAAGTTTAGATAAACGTCCTTTACATTCCAGATGTAAATATATTTGTTTTTTATTACTACCAACATTTCGCTTTTGCAGCTTCTTCAGGGTTAATACATACAAACTGTTTGATATTGAAGTATATGTTAATTTAAAAATTGATTCTGATGTTCTATCTCTCGAGTCTGTTGCACCTGTCTCCAACAATGTATAAAATATCATTGTTATTATGATGCAATAATACTCAATTAAAACAATGAGAAAAACACAGAAGGTTCTAGTAACATGATGCAATAATATAACAATCGCCAATTCACAACAATTGAACTACACAATGTATGATTTGTAAACAGTTATGTAAACAAGCATGCCATAAATTATCACTTCAAAAAATAACTAAATTTAACACTCATGATATACAAACTAAATCATAACTCTTGCATTAAACTTAAACTGAAACAGTCATGTATATCTAACATCTACCTTCTGAGCTGAAGTCTTAACCAACTAACAATTGCTAGTAAGGCATGTTTTAATAACTCACATTACCACATTCTTACCTTCGCACAAGTGAGGACCGTCCTCAAGCCTTATCTCAGGGTCATAGGAAAGCACCACATTGGGTGCCAGTTTTTGTGTGGTAATCTAAATGTTTTGCATTTTTTTGGCTCGTTATTAAACCTGAGACCCCTCTAATGTCAGGCATACATTTTACCAATTGAGATACAAGATTAACCTAAAGCAGTTACTAATAATGTACCTTCTAACAGCTCAGACTATCATAATGCATCAAAACGTTTATGTGCCCCTTTTATTATTTGCTCTGAAAGGGTGTTGTCCAGTCATATATAAAAGGATATCAAATGGTCACCAGAAATGAGGAAATCCCTGCAAGAGATATGCTTGATCCTTGGGTTAAAGTTCATTATGCTTATTAACATGGTATCTCAAAGTTCGCTATCATGCTGTGATATAAGAACAGATAACTTAAAAATAATGGCAGCATTCAAAGTTTTGTACTTATCAAGTGATAACATCATTTATCAGAGTTTTGTAACTGGAATATATTTGAAAATAGATCTTAGTTCTAAAGCTCAATATTGAATATGTGTAAACCAGCTCATTCTGTCTTCTAAGAAGTATGAAACAAGATGGAGCAAAGAGAAAAAAAAAGGATAACTAAAACACGTTTTCATCATAGGAAATAAGCAAACTTGGTAATGAGCTTTTATACTAGTGTCTTACTTCTATTGAAGAAGTATGTATTGGGGAAGGAGATAAAAAAACAAGAATGTACAGGTTATTTAAGAACTATAAGCATTCCCTTGATTTTTTTAAGAGACAAAAAGTTATTGATAATAAAACAGTGAAGCTGTTAAAGTGTCCTAAACTGAAACTAAAGATCTTGAAGGAGTCAGAGATGTTTCTTGGATCTAGAAATCTCACAACTTCTCAAAGCACAAAGAAGGACAAATTGATTGACAGAAAATTAACAGAAAGTTATTTAAAATGTAGTCTAGACCTGAAAAATGGGTCATCATTTTACCATCGGTCTTTTGAGGTGTGTGTCTCTATTAGATTCACTAGCAAGAGGACACACGAGTTTCCTCATTAGATTGAAGGAACTATCTTCTAGATTTAGTTTTGAGGAAGAAAGCAAAACTAACTTTTAGAGGGACATTAGTAGAAGGTTGATTTTCTTTTCCATTCCCTATAGATATGTGTAGTGATCCTGCAAATATAGGCCAATAATGATTAGAGAATCATGAAAAATAATACACACCCAATCACATGTAGAGTGGCTATAATCATGATAAACTGTTCCTATGGGCCCCAAGTGGAATAATCTTTAAAAAAAATGGGATACATCATTCATTCCAAATCATACTGCACAAATGTTAAACTTTCTCAGCAATTCAAAAAAGAAGGCTAGAAGCATCTGGAAAATTTGGTTAAGAAAAGACAGAAGAAATCTATTTATTAGCCATTACAAATTTTAAGTGTTAATAAATGTCTATTTATACATGAGTTCCAAGTCAAATAATTTTGAATGCAGTTTGATTTGGAATGATTAGAATGCTCAAAACTGAATTTGCTACTCTCCCCCATCTCAAACACATCTCAACTTTTTTTTCACTTTCATGTCTGATAGTATAAATACTAATTACTGTATAACATTCTTAAATGATATCAAATGTATTAATAATAAAGTGAAACTTAGCATAAACAAATTACAGTTCTGTGTTTTAATATTATTTATGTTGCAACTATTTGTATGCACTTTGTGTTTCCCTATACCTTGAAAAAAAAAACTAATATATATTTTTAAATCGACTCATTATCTTCTACTCATGCACAATACTTATCTTTAGTAGGGTAAAGGGTGGGATGTTAAGACTAGTGATATGAACTTTTTTACATACTGTACATGTTTCAATTCAAAATATATTTATATTATCAGAATGTGAAATTTTACATATTATCACTCCTATAACTGAGTTACAATGTTGCTAAAATCTCTTGTTTAGAAAATATTCAAATTAGAAGAGTATAAACTTTTATTTAATATTTCTAAGTTTTTATACAAGTTGTCTTCTAACAATTTTGTACTTTTGCCACAACTCTGACAATTTGCATTGTAAAAACCCTTTTTTGTTCTAATTCAGCTGTTTATTTTTCAAAGACTGGTGCACACTTCTTTAACGTTCTGTTTTCTTTATGTCTTTTAACTTTTTCTTTATAAGGTGGAAAGTGCATGGAAATCAGCAGAGTTTATAGTTTTGCCTCACCGAGACTCTAAAGACGTCTTCATCTTGGGCGGAACAGAGGAAATACAGGCTTTGTTAGATGATTCTAATGTTAATATTGCCACCATTGCAAGCTTTAAACATGTGGGGCCAATCAAGTCCAGAGTGGAGGAATGGAGCTGCCAATTGGATCTTTTTGGGAAAACATTGGTGTGTGTTTTTTTAAAATTAAACTTCAAGATTTATCAAAAATCTGTTGCATACTATTATTTAACTAAAATATTATGTTTGTATATATTATAAGTTCATTATCATAAATATTATCAAGATATATAACATATAATCTGATTTATATGATCAGGAACACTGTATCTCATTAGTTATAATTTGTATATTGTACGTCATTTTGCATGTGAACAGGAAGAGTGGCTAACTTGCCAGCATAACTGGTTGTACTTGGAAGTATATTCAGTACTCCTGATATCCAGAGACAACTGCCATCTGAAGCTCGCATGTTCACATCTGTTGACAAATGTTGGAAAGAAATTATGCGGAAGGTTAACAAAATTCCTTTGGCCATGCGAGCTGCAACTCAGTCAGGTTTGTATGTTCCACTTAAACATTTTACCAATGCTTAGCTAATGGTGAAAGGCTAGCTGCTAGCTAACTACTTAACAGGATAATTGTTAGATTCTTTTTTTCAGTTTCTTAAATTAATCTTTAAAAATAATGTACAAAACAGATAAAGAATACACATATTTTTGTAATAAAGCTATGGTAATTATTTTTCATGCTTGATAAAAAGAATGGTAAAATATATTAATCATTAATTATGTACAAAGGTTGAATACATTATATTAAAAATGAGTCCACGTTGTCATATCTAGTCATGCTCAATTTCATGATTGTGCATCTTACCAATAACCCTATAGTATAGCTTCTATTACAAAAGACTCATTCATAAGACTGTCATTTTCAAAGAGCAACGCTACTCCTTCCAGGCTTTCCATAATCCATCTAGTTTATAGATTGACAGTTCTCAACACTCATTTCAACCATCTGCTCTCACAGAAATCTATATATTGCATCTGATAACTTGACCAGTATATCTTTGTTTGGAATAGCATGAATACTCATTTCATTCTCCATCTGTATTGTTGCCTGGGGCATGCAAATACCTTTTGCCATTGACTTTTGTGTTCATGGATTTTCACCTATTACAAGACACCACACTTTACTTAGCATGACTTTGGTATGACTTCTTGCAGGTTTCTTTCTGGATGGACTTCCTTTCCCCAAGTTGATCCATGTTTCTTTGTTTTCTAATACCATTAAGTACAAAGGATATTCCCATCTTGGAAATTCTAAATCCCCGATCTGAACACATTTTTATGATCTGAATGTATGAATAATTTGTGTCATAAATGTTGGTACATACAATTCTCTTTTCCTGAAAGCACCAAATTTTCAACGGCATCACACAACCTACAAAATGCCAAACAGTGTTATTCCACAGTGATTTTATATTAGCTATGGTCATCATGTGACTTTCTGACTTTCATATTCAAAGTGTTTTTAATATAACGTACCAAACCCTCTATATAGCCATCAATTTAAACAATTTTCTTTCCTTGAAAAGAAAAGAAAGCAGAATATACTGCTATTGGTAGAACTTTAATGTGTCCGAATAACAGTACTTTGACAAAGTACCTCAACTATTTTTGGAATAACTTCCTCTTCTAACCAATTTTTGAACAGAAACAGGAAACATAGATCATACATTTTTATAGATGTAAGCTTTGAATTACAGAAATTTAGTGTAAAGACTTTGAATAAATATGTATGAGTTTAGAATTGTGCAGGGAGATATTTTGCTCACAAGTTAATGAATATGTGCAAAGTCAAGATTCAAACGTTGCCCATAGGCAAGTTAGGCTCAACAGTTGAAATTTTTTTTTATAAAACTAGAAAATAGATCAGTTGTGGTATATCTAGGTGAACTATATATTTGTTAAAGTTCTTGAATAGGTCTACTTAATAACAGAAGATTTTTCAAGCTACTGATTACAGAGTATTTCTCAATCTCTTACTAACTGATCTATGTAAAATGAAGTAACAATACTGAAGACAAAGTGAAATACAAAATGAACAATCTTTACTCAACACTCAACACAAGTTCAAGGATGTTCCAGACCAAACTGCTAAATCCAAGGTTTCTTAGTTTCAAAGAAACCTCAAATTTACCCAGCATGATAGACATTACCCATGTGAGTGGTTATTCTCATTATAACATAGGTGAGGTTGTAATCTCTAGGTGTCATCAAAACAATCATCAAGGGACACTGCTGTCGACATTCTTACAATGTTGTACTATGCAATGCGCTCCCTGGACAGTATCAGATGTTACCTACTTTGAGAAAAACAAAGGTAATTCAAAACAAGATCAACTTAACAGTTTTTATAACCATTCATAAGTGAAACCTTCACATTTGCAAAATAAAGAACAAGTTCAGAATAAATATAATAATACCACAAGAAAACAGAAACCCATGGTATATTCATATACAACATAGTCAATAGTTCAATTTTACCATCAGGAGAAAAATTATTATATTCTACCCTATTTTCTATCAAAGTTTGTTCTTGTACAATGCATAGGCATTAGGCTAGTGGCTGGTGAAGATTACCAAATCAGTACCAAATATGTTAATAATATATACTTTTATAGCTGTCCCATATTTCTGTTTCAAATCTTGTATAAGGAAATACTTTGAGAGAGAGATAATGATGGAGGTGTTGCTTTTTAAAGAGAGATAATGATGGAGGTGTTGCTTTTTAAAGGAATTAAATTAACTTAGTGGCATTTATTATTGCTCAACAGACTTTGGATACTTCTCTGTAGATGAGTCATTTTCATTAAATATGATAGAAAACAGTTGCTCATTTCATTAGCATGAACATATTAATATGTGGTTTTGAGGGTACTATCTTATGAAGATTTACAATTTTTTTTCATGCTTATAGGAATGCTGGAATCATTTCAGAACAATAATGCACTATTGGATCAGATCATGAAATGCTTAGAAGCCTTTTTAGAGTCTAAAAGAGTGGTCTTTCCAAGATTTTATTTTTTATCTAATGATGAGTTACTGGAAATCCTAGCTCAGACGAGAAACCCTCAAGCTGTGCAACCTCATCTTTGGAAGTGTTTTGATGCTTTAGCAGAATTAGAGTTTGGAAAAGGTTGAGTTGTTCGCTCCGAACTTTTAGTACAAAAATTATAGAGATTCGTTTAAAAATATTTAACATTTCATTTAATAGATCTTTCATAGGGTACTGCACTGTTTAGGTTGTCAAGATAACAATATTCAGAGTTGTAATTTTGGTTTTATACTTTTTTTAAATGCAACAAGCTTAATAGTGCAGCAACTTATGAAAGGTTTATCATTAATGTAACTTTTTATATGGTGGTAGCAAATCTGGAAAAACCTGAAAAGTTATGTAATACAAAAAAAGAGTTTAATACATCAGAAAAATTATCCCATAAGCTGAAGAATTCATAATTGTGGATCCCCCTCTTTTTTATCTCAGAAACTGCATGCACAACAAACTAAGCTGTAAAGTTATGTCAATTATTGGTATATTTTACACTCTTAACTTAATCTTGGTCAGTCAATCTGTATTAGTTTCTGCCTATTTATCAAGTTGTTTCATTATATAAGTTCCATGAAATTTGTGCAACTGCCAACCCCACTGTTCTCTGACTTGCATCAGCTTAACCAGTTTTTGATGTGACCACCTTGTTTGAAGAAATTAAATTAAACTTTAAAAATCCTGACCATGTTTTTAATAACAAAGGTACCCAACTGATGATTTATTGTTTTCTAATCATTATAGGCTTTACTGGTCTTAAGTGTTGATTTATGACATTACAAGCTGAAGTACCCATCCTTTGTCCGAGTTATGAACTTAAAAAAATGTGTGGATGGATGCTATGATAAATAACACAAAAATCATAACTTTCAAACAATATCTAGTAACATAACATAATTACAGTATTCATTATTACCCCACCAAAAGTTTTTTATAAGCTTTAAGAATTCAATTTATATATACTGAAAACATAGTATACACTGTGTGATGATCAGGGTGACTTTGTAGGAAGAGATAGCAACCAAAGTAGTGGTGGTAGGGGTGCTTACGTTTAGCACCTAGCTCTTTCCACAGTGTTTCATGCAATTAAATAATATATGGTGATTGGCTGCAGAAGTGTCTTATGGATCGAAGTTGAAAGGTCGTGAGTCAAAGTAGGAAGTTGGTATAACTAAAAAAATGGCTGTTCATATCAGCCTTATGGTGTCTGTTTGAGTAGAAACTTCAACTTAGTTTATGCATTATTGCAATAGTGGCAGCCATTTTTTTCATTGCTAGTGCACTCTAAGATATATAAGACATTTGTGTGCCATTTCCCACACTGTGTGTATGTTGTGTTATAGAAAGTTTAAGAAAGTAATTGTTTTCAGTGTAAGGATGTGGTGCCATCTATGAATGTAGTTAACGTTAACTTACGTCAAAAATAATAAATGTTCAATAACAGCAATAGTGGGGGTGGGGGGATTGTGAAACCCCTTCCATTAACATACACCTTATTCCAAACTATCATCCCACAAAGTTTGGTTGAGATTAGCTCAGTGGCATAGGAGTAGTTTGATAATGGGCAGACAGACAGACTGATAGATTTTTGTACTATATATATAGAGATGTAGTTGATATCAGTTTGTATTTACAGTTGGCTTCAATTTGTGAGTTACTTTGTAGTTCTGATTTATATAGTGCTTACTTTTGATCATAACCCATTATAATAATATTTTTATTTATTACAGTGCCTGTTTACCATACAAAATTTAATTATCAGTTTATAATTGTATTCGTTCAAGTATGTTATATGCATGTTCTAATTTTTTTCCTCATATAAGAAGACTCCAATGAGAAAACCCAAACCAATGAAATTTTAGCAATGATTTCACCTGAAGGAGAAAAGGTTTTACTAGGAAAGGTATTTTTTTATTCATTAAGGAGTTTATGATTCTTGAAAATTTCTTAAACAATGTGCAGATTTCTTAACTAGTTTTTCAATAATATGGGTTATTTGTTATAAAAATACTTAATATTATGGATTCCTTAACAATGTTTCTTTTTTTTTTAAAGTGTAGTATGTGAATACTAAATATTTCACTCTCATATAGTGTATATTTCTTCTTACCTATGAGATTCTTAAATTTCTCTAACTTTTTATTTTGGAACATGCCACATCTGGTTAAGATTGTGTGCAAAATTTTATTGTGAGGTATCACTTTTTGTAGATTGACTAGTCAAAGAGCTTATCTATTGTTCCAAAGTATAGTTGCATTGTGTCCTTCTTGACCTTGCTTTTAAGGGTATTTTGTCTCTGTCACATGGAGCAGAGTATTTCTGCATTTGAGTGTCTTTTTTTTTTTACTTTTGTCAACTGCAGAGAGAATGTGCTTTGTATGTGTAGTTTTCGCACTTTTTAGTAAAAGACCAACTTGGATCCTGAAATAATTCAATATCTAACTTTTATTTTTCAGTTTTTCCAAGCCCAGTCATCCCAATTACTATGAAATAAATATTCAGATTGAATGAAATGGAATCAGTGTAACAGTAACACAAATATGTATCTTTTGAATTATGCTATTAGTAGACCTGTAATAGAATAAACTGCAATTTAGAGAAGAATGATTTGGGCTTCTGCAAGTGCTAAATGTTATTTCAACACATATTATGTCTCTGATATGGCTGATATTTCCCAGCTTAGATAAAAGTGATCTTAAGAGCTGTAAGGAGAGAGCAATAGGTAGTTATAAGTATTATCACATGCCTAAGATCTAACTCAGGTGTCAAGATTCACAATACATAATACAGGGGCAATTTGTAGTCCGAAATAAATTAAATCCTATGAATTTTTAGTATTAAATCTCTCTTTCTATACTTGTCTTTGTATGCCACACATTTTGCGCAACTCGGAACTCACTTGAGAAACACGAAAAAAATTATTTTCATTTTGTCATGACAGAGGTATACCTGCAATGCATTCAGTGTGTTCCAATGTTATATGATGGATACTCATCTTTTTTTCTTTCAAAATAATTTTAAAGGTCCATCCATTTTATGAAAAGGAAAGAAGGGGTAACAAAAATGATAAGAGGAAGGAAAATATTTTTTTTTATGTCCAGAAGTGCCGGTAATAGACACATTAGAACTTATTAATCAATATATGATGGCTTTCTTGTTTTCTTATCAAGGGATTGAAAGCTAGAGGAAATGTTGAAGATTGGCTACTAAAAGTAGAAGAATCCATGTTTGTTTCATTACGGAAGTTAACAAAAACAGCTTTGCTTGATTATGAACAGAACAAAAGAGAAAATTGGTTTATGAAACATGCATCTCAGGTACTCTTTTATCTTCTTCCCTGTTGAAAATATTCTTATGTAATGTTTATTAATTATGGATGGTACTTGAATTAGAGTATAAACCTGAAAACTTCTAAAAATTAAAATAAAATATTGAATGAATTTGTTAAATAATAGTGATGCTATTTTCTCGAACAGTAAACTAATGATTTTCTTGTTCTGAATGGGTTATAAATTTCTCAACAACTGTTCAATTTTATATATTTTCTGATCAAATTGCTAGTGAGAGAATTCCTTAGAGAATGTCCTCTGTAGGAAAGGTGTACATAATTTTATTCAATATATTCATCAAATTATTTTTTTATAATACTTACATACATTTTTCATTTAATCCAGTACCATTATTTGTATTTTTACTTTCTATTTATTTAGTACTATTCTAATTCTTTTTTCTTTTTCTTCTACAAATTCTTCAACATATCTGCACATCTTTTTATTTTTTCTTTCATCTTCTTCCAAATCCTTCCATTTCCTTTCTGCATTCTTTCCTTATCAATCCATCATATTCTTTCTTTCCCATCTATTTTCTTTGCATTACCATCTATGTTCCACTGTTTCTTTTTTTTCTCTTATATTTCCTACATTTCTAACATTTTGACTCCTCTGTCCTCTAAAATATTTCCACATATTAATCTCGTCAATAATTTAATATGTTTTATTATCATTCTCTAAAGAACTGCATCTCTCCAATATCGTCTTTTATCTTCTGTTTTGTTTACAATATATACAATAGTTATATTGTTGTACTATACTCCAGTTCTGTTGGATATTTCGTTCTATCTTTATTCTCATTGTTTCTTCTATCTTTATCTTTATTTTCTTTCACTGTTATCATTTTAATTATTTCTGTACTTCAAACACCTTCCAATACTCTTCTCATCACCCAAAAATTAGTATATTGGCTCTTGTTAAATAACTTTTTCAAAAACTTGCTTGATTTTTTCTGTGATTTTCTCATTTTCTTGTAGTTATCTCTTTAACCTCTCTGCTACTGCACCTGTCAGGATTTTACACAATATCTTCAAAAATGTTATCCCTCTATAGTTGTTTTGGGTTCTCTTCACTACCTGATTTATAAATTGGATAAATTTATTCTTTTCTCCATTTTTTGAACACAATTTATTTTCACATACTCTGTTATTATATCTAAAATGTTTACTTTTATTTCCATTGTTACTGCTCTATAAAATGTATTTATTTCTTGATCTCACCTGTACTCTTGTTTTTCTTCAATCTTTTAATTACTCTATTTAATTCTTAGATTTCGGTTTTGCTGTAAAATTTTTCATGATTTATTTCTACATTCCAGTCTTCTTTTATTCCTTCTTTTTCTTCTACTCCTTTTAACAGTTTTGTGGTAAAATATTACTTTTATTATTTGTGAATATCACATGTACTTTTCTTGCTTTAGATGCATCAGTTTTTTATACTTATATAATTTCCAAGAATTTTGCCATCCAGTAGTTCATATTTGTTCTTCATTTATATATATATAGTGTGATACATTGTGCTAACATAAAAATAGTTTTGAAATCATGCAAATTTATTCTTCTTTTTCAGATTGTCTTGACTGTATCACAAATACTGTGGTGCACTGACAAATTTATTCTTCTTTTTCAGATTGTCTTGACTGTATCACAAATACTGTGGTGCACTGACGTAACTAAGATTCTTGAGAACGAAGCTGATTCTTTGGTGAAACTTGAAGAGTTTGAAGCAAAATGTTTTAAAGTAAATAATTTTCTAAAAAATGTTTACTGTAATTTTTGTGTTCTTTCTTTAATGGTAAGGGGTCTGCTGTGAGCTTTTATTTGCTTAAAAAGGTTTTAAAATTCTCGGTATATAATAATGGTATAACCATTTTTATGAATGAAAGTCTCAGATATTCTTCTTAATTCACTGTTTTAGTTGTTGAGAATACATTTTAGGATTCCATGTTTTTATTGTGGACAGTGTGCAGATTTCCAGTCTGAGTGTGTTAGTTTCCTATAAACATAAGTGTCAAATCAAGTTGATTTCCTGTTAATGTCAGTATTTTAAAATGTCCAATGCTCCATATCCAAAAAAAACATTATAAGTCTATGAAGAACAACTGAAATTAACAGAAAAAAGATTGCAGAAGCTGTACTGATCGAAACATTAAAGCCTTCGTTAAATAAATATCTAATAATTACCATATTGGCTGATTATAAAATGATGTTTTTTGCTTAATAATTAGACTGTAAAATTCATAGTCCCCTTGTAATTGCAACTGATCACAGGCCCCTTTCCCCTACTCTAGTTTTTTGCATTCCTAAATGTCCTGATAGCATCCGTCTATGCATGCGTGCCAGATGTTTGCTTAAGGTCATTGCTAATTCTTGCAACTAATCCACCTGCAGGCTGTTCAGTTATGGTATTGATTTTGCACAACTAAAAGGGGATGTTATGACACTCAATTTTTTATTTCCCATTATTTCTGAAAATGGGGGTCACCTTATATTTGAGATCACCCTATAATCAAGCCAATACAGTATAATCCATTTAATTGCACATCACATTTTTTTATTCTTAAGTGTTTTGTAATTTTATTTTTTGTAAATAATTATTGCCTCCAGTGGTAAACATTTATAATTTAACATATTCGCTGCTGAGAATACTCATTACACTTTGAATTTGTAGTTGTTGTTAAATATACATTTTTTGAAGATGGTCCACTACTATAGGCTGAAACGTAGCAGTTTTAATTGCCTTTAAAAAAAAGCATTTTCTTTGTAAAGCTGATCATGATATTAAATAAGATATTCATCTCTTAATACATAAGGTTTGTTGTCCTTTATGAAACTACATTTTCATGGCCTTCAGACTTAATAGGAATGTTCTCTGTGTACATGTAAATACATGTATTCAACTACAAGACTACAAGTAAACATTTTGTTAAATCATTTTTCTCTTACTCATAGAATTGTATTTCAAACACTTGTAACCTTTTTTAACTCTTATTTTTATATGAAGAATAATTCTCCATGTTTTATGCATAGCATATTGTAGAAGTTTTGGTAATTGTCATGTAAAGGGTGAATTTTTGATTATTGAAATTTGAATGATCAGGGAATTGTTAAAATCTTCTCAGGAATTAAACAGGAGTGCAACTTTGGTCAGAGGAAATATTCCAAAGTTAAACAGGTTGACCTTATGTTCTCTAATAACCATTGATGTCCATGCCAGAGACATCATTAGTGGGATGGTCAGAAACAAGGTAAAGTTTGAACTTACAGTATATTAATTCAGTATTTACTAGTTTAATAATGTGAATTTAAGTGCTTAAATTCACAACATATTAATTGTTTGTTACTTTTTATGAAAAATTTACAAGTTCCTGTATTAACATTACTATTAGAGGTTTTCACAACTAATAGAATGACAGATTTTCAACTAAAGACAATGTTATCCCAACTCCATATAAAATAAAGAAAAACAGCTTGTACACATATTCATAGAAATTTTGAATCACACTTGTGGATAATATATTTTGTTTATTTCTTTTTGAATTTCGCGCAAAGCTACACGAGGGCTATCTGCACTAGCCGTCCCTAATTTAGCAGTGAAAGACTAAAGAGAAGGCAGCTAGTCATCACCACCCACCTCCATTTCTTGGTCTTGGGCTACTCTTTTACCAATGAATAGTGGGATTGACCGTCACATTATAACGCCCCCTCGGCTGAAAGGGGCGAGCATGTTTGGTGTGATGGGGATTCGAACCCGTGACCCACAAATTGCGAGTCGATTTCGTTTGTCAATAGCCCTGTGTACATAAAGTAATATCAGTCAGATTTGGTTGGTTTATGTCAATTGTGTATAAGTGATTAAAAAATTTGTATTACATATATGATTTTTGTTAACATCAAATTACTTACGTTACTTTAAAACAAAATTATTTATTATTAATATTATTTATTTAAAACTAGTATGTTAATATTGAATTACTGGGATTTGAGTTATTGAGTCTGATGTAGTTTTTTTTTAGCCATGTTGATTCAGTTTTTAACATACAAAATAGTAACATAGATGTATGTAGCAGAATTTAGGAAATATCATGATTAAATTAAAATCGTATTATTATAGAGAACCTTCTCAGTTATGAAAAAAATTACTGGAAGCTGTTACGCTTTAAAATTTACAGTGTTCATGCTTGAAATAAATGTTAAGAAAGAATAAAAACAAATAGCTGTGCAAACATCCTGACATTTTACATGGAATATTGAAAATTACCCTGTAATTTAAAGAATTCAGTATGTATCATGTACAAAAAATTTAAACATTGGTGTAGGAATCCAGATTTTAAATGGCAATTTTTGTAGCTTTGGATATGAGTAATCCATCTAAAATATTTCTTTTTCTACCTCCCCAGCCTGTCCAGTTCCTGTGCCTTTGAAAATTGTTTTATGATTTAAAAGATTCAGAAGGTATAACGTGTGTAAAAAAAAAAGTTAAATAATATCCATATTTTCTCCAGATCACCAGGAATGACAGTTTTGAGTGGTTGAAACAGTTGAGATACTACTGGGATGTGTATGCTGATGACTGCATTGTTCGAATGTCAACATATGAGTATAATTATGGCTACGAATATCTTGGTGCTTCTCCTCGCCTGGTGAATACGCCACTCACCGTAAGGATCTTGTTTAGATTTTCTCCTCCATTACTTTCAGTGTTAGATTTAGATGCATAATTTAATAAAGAGACCTCCTTTGGTAGATACTGAAGTCAAATGTATATGTCTTCATCTATGTACATCCTCAGTGTCTCATTCACTGTAATATATTTGTGTAGTGTTTATTATTGTTATAGAATCAGTAATAGCCACTGTACTCCAGATGCTGCAAGTACATTCAAACCATTTATGACCACTGTCTTATTGATATTAAAGTCTCTCCAAATTATTTTAAATGGTATGTGTAAACACCGTAGCATAATTAAAATAAGTGTAAAGACGTGGTTTATTCACTGAATGTGGTGTGTATAGAGAGGCGGTTATTGTTTTGTACTGCTTCTGTAGTGGGTGCATTTGGAGTCTTTTAGCTGGAAATGTCATCTAAAAGTCAGGATTAAGTTGTTTGTGCTTCCATAATAATAGACCTTTCTAACCAATGTCTAAATGTGTATGGTAGTCATCTGTGTGTGTATATATGTTTTTGAATAAACTACCCTTACAGCTTGTTGAAAATGTATCTTTGTATAGTCTTAATCAAGTAATATGACACCAGATGTTGACTAGTAGCCAGTCTGAATAACATGTCTTATCGAAAACATCCATATAAGCAGTTTATATAATGAGTAATAGATATGTCTTAAAGCTAACAAGGTAACCAATTGATAAAATAGATATGATATTGAAAGAAATGGTCATTAATCCAAAATGTTAATTTTTTTTTTACTGATCATAATGTATTTTACTTTTCTTTGTTAGTTTGTAAGTCATATATTTAAAGTATTATTTTACATATGTTATTGTTTTACATGTTTTACCTTTTTTTTCTTTCTGTAAAGGATCGCTGCTATTTATGCTTGATGGATGCTCTTCAATTAAACTTAGGGGGAGCACCTATTGGCCCTGCAGGGACTGGAAAAACAGAAACTACAAAAGATTTAGCCAAGTCAGTTGCAATTCAGTGTGTTGTGTTTAATTGCTCTGAAGGACTTGATTACAAGGTAAATTAATTGAGCAATGCTCAGTGCTTAATTTGTAAAAGAAGATGATACCAGATCCCTGTTGAAGTGGGAGATTTTGAATTTTGGAAGATAACACTTTAAAGGTTATTAAGGGTACTATTTGGGGTAAGACTGGAAGGGAAATGTGATTGAATATGTTAGATTAATATCATTTTGTAATGCAACTAAGGCAGTCGTAAAATTAGTTATAGCACTTTCGCCTTAACGTGTTCTGGATCTCAGATACAGAGATCTGGCAAAAATTAAACACTGGCAATGCTACAGTTAATTATATATTTTTGATCTATTAATGTGGTTGTGTGATAAGTAATTATATTTTGGCTATCATGAGTGTTGACAAAAAACAGATACAACTTTTTAAAAAGTTTAATTAGAGTTTGATAATCAGTATCTAATAACAATCAGTTTTTAGTCCACCTAATATTTAATGGTTTATGTTCTGTTCTTTCTTTACATTTTTACAATTGAAGATGTAGTGGCAGTGCCCTCATCTTCTAGTTAAGAGTTGTTTTTCTTAGCTTAACCCTCTCTCCATTGACATCTTTTTCTGTGCATGTCACAAGGTTTTAATAAGTTACAATCAAAATTTAATTAAACTACCTTTTTTCATGGAATACCAATAAATATAGCATAAAAACATAGCTAATGATCCATATTTCAATTGTATATGACTTGCAAGTTCTTAATTTTATAAGGCAATATTAAAAAAAACTTTCCTGGTTTTTCCTCTAGTGTGAGAATTGAGACATTTTATTTCTTGGCATCCCCTTTTCTCTAATTTATTTACAACCCATCCAAGAAGTACGAAATTTAGCTTAAATAACTTATTACAATATTTTCATCACTCAGGCAAAGCATACTTTTTATAGCCTTCAATCTTATTTGGTTACAGAGCCATGAAATAGACAATCAGACCCTTCTTGCCACACCCACCTGTCACATCCTCTTTTTCAGAAATTGACAATAATTTTTTTTGACTTTCAATACTATATTATCTATGACCAATAGAAAGCCAAGGTTTTACTCTATCAAATGATGTATTAAATTATATTGTCTTCTGTACAGTGGTTAGTGATTAGGAGGTCAGTCAACTTGACCAATCTTGTATAGAGTTAGGGTAGAGAACATAACAGATGAAATATAAATTTTACTGAAAAACAAAGTTTGAAATTTATTTAGGAGGTTATAGAGATTACGCAAATGAAATTTGAGATTTTTGAGATGAAGAAAAGCATTTTTAATCTTAATGTGGAAATCACTTTGCACTTGGAGTAGTTAAAAAAAAAGACTATTTTCACAGACAAATATTTAGCAAAAATACTTGCTTAAAAAATCTGCCAAATTTTGTGAACATACACATAATGTATTAAAAGTTATAGTGTGGAAACTATAACAAGCACAAAGTAGCTACGAAGTTGGTCAATTCAACCGATGTTGTAGCGAGAGAGAGAGTTAATGGCAAAGGATTTTTATCATGCTAAGATGGAATTCCTCCTGGGAATGGAGAATGATGCAGAGGAAACTGCAGGTAAGCATAACATCACAACTTAACTGAACAAAACAGACCTACTCCGAACCAACACCCCAGGGTACCAAGATACCTTTATTAAGCTGTTAAGTAATCTCTGGTTATGTGACCTCTTTGTACCATACTGTATATATGTTTCTGTATCTGTGTAAACTACATTACCTATTCAAGCCATCTCCAAACTTTTATTTTCTAAAAAGTGGGTTTCTCATCATATTCATTTGGACAGTTGTTGGTAGTTTGTTCAAATTAACTATTATATTTATTATTTTATATTTATTAACTATTATAAATCAGTCTAAAATCATCTAATTCTTTATTCAGTTCACTAATCGCTTATTCTTTACACACTGGTGTTTTTGTATTTTACTGTAAAAATGTCTATTTTGGTATCAACCTAGGGTTATCTCTCATCTATTTTACTCTTTGTAAGTCATTATAGAAGAATACAGATACACATGTACATAAGGGTGTTTTTTAACACTTAAAAAAAAATATTTATTTTTTTACCATTTATCTGTTTTACTCTCTATACTCTAAAATGTAGTTTTATTTCCCATTTGATTTGGAGTGAATGAATAGAGGCAGTGTTTAATATATAATTGTGGTGATGCAAGTCCAAGGTAGAGTTCCATTTTTGTTGGCATTCATTCAGTTCAGATCTGATGAAGGTCTTAGCATGGAGCCCCATTCATGTTCCAGAGAAAACCTTAATTTATTCAATGACATTGGATGGACTGTCCTAGGGAGGTCTGCTTCATTGGTTAAATGCTAAGCTCAAAAATGGGAACTTTGATATTAGGTGTAGTTTATATAAGTTGTAAACTCAGGTTTAGCTTCGTTTTTTCTACAGGATTTCTTCCTTGTTAAAATTATAAACTTGAGTGATGTTTAGCCTATTGATGAGGCATCTAATGTTATTTTCATTCGATATAATAATTCTTGAGTAGGTGTCGTGTAAATAAACACATTTTTTGATGATTTTGTTTTATGGAGATAGATGGGTAATTTTGTGCATCAAATACCTTTTTTTTTTTCATCTTGCTTTATCTTACACTTCAAATTCTAGTGTGATAATATGTTAATAAAACTGGTATAAACAAATGATTAAAGTGTTTGTTTAATGATAAATATAAAAAGTAAAACCAGTGCTAAATACAGAGTATAAATTAATAAGAAACTTTTTTCAGTAATTTGTATTGTACTTCTTAATATCACTTGAAGATTTAAATAGGCAAAATTTAACATTCACAGATGATGGGTCGTTTCTTTGCTGGGTTGGCTCAATCTGGTGCATGGTGCTGCTTGGATGAATTCAACAGGATTGACATTGAAGTACTTTCAGTTATTGCCCAACAGATGATGACTATCAGAAATGCTAAGATGTCAAAGGTACCAATATAGCTGAATTGATTTGTTTTGTTGAATTTCTTGCAAAGCTGCATGAGGGCTATCTGCATTAACCACTCCTCATTTAGAAGTGATAAGCTAGAGGGAAGGCAGCTGGTTAACACAATCCCCTCTAACTCTTGGGATACTCTTTATCAATGAAAGAATGAATTGGCTGTCATATTACAATGCTCCTACAGTTTAAAGAAATAGCATATCCAGTGTTGATATTGAAAAAATGTTAAGGATTGTATACAAGAATAATCAAATTGCCATGGCTGATTATATTTTTGTAATATAAGTTGTGGCTTACAAACTACAAATATGTATGTCCATGATATATTCATACAGTTTATTAATGTAAAATGTTTAAACTTAATGCATTATTTTAAACTCAAAGTAACATGTAAGATAATTACAGCTTTGTGATGGGAAATAGCTTGAAATTACATTCATTAAGACTGACCATGGTCCAGTGGTTGGCATTTCTGAACTATGGATCTGCAGGCCTATCATTCGTGTTTTTGTTATTGTGAAAAACAATAATCGTGTTCTGCACTTTGGGGATGTGGATGAATTATAAGGTTGAAAGTCATATCACACTGTTCAGTCAGACAAGAATAGCCTAAAAGTTGGTAGTAGGTGTAGTGTTGTTGACTAGCTGCCATGAGTGACCCAAGAATAGGCAGTGGGTGAGGTGCTGCTAACTAGCTGCCTTCTTTCTAATCTACCAGTTTAAAAATAGAATGTATAGTTCAGATAGCTCTTGAGTATCCTTGTGTGAATATCTGAAAACACAGAAAAAAAAATAATTCAGGAATTTGAGGATTTAAAGCTAGATCATACTTAAAATTGCTTTTTGCACAAAAAACCAGTAACAAACTTACTCCTTATGTGTATTTTATTTTGTAGCTTTCTCGATTTGTATTTGAAGGAAGTGAGATCAAGTTAGTTCCAACCTGTGCAGCATTCATCACTATGAACCCAGGGTATGCTGGTCGAGCAGAACTTCCTGATAATCTGAAATCTTTATTCCGGACGGTTTCCATGATGGTACCTGACTATGGTATAACTACCTTTTTAGCCTCAAAATTTTTGTAATGAATATCATTTCAGTGTATTTCCTAATTTTTTACAGGGCGTAATGTCTTCATCTTCCTGTGATAGTGTGAAAACATTATTTCAAACTATTATAAATTTGTTCTTCAAGTCAGTGTAGCAAGATTATGAATGGCGTTAAATAGTGGAATGTAGGCAAGGCTGAAAAAGAGAGCTTGAATCATCTTCAAACTGCCATAGGCTGAACGATGCTTTACAAATTATTCAAAATTAACCATTACTCATGCTTAAAACATATTCTGAAATATATGTTTTTTGCTTTATTTTTCAACAAGGATCTCAAATAAAACATAGTACATTCATTGTGAAAGTCAAGATAACGAGAAACGGGATGAGTGAGAGAAATATTATGTGACAAAAGAAAGTTGCTAACAAAGTACAGTTTTATTCCATCTGATACTTTAATATTTGATACATTACAGTTTTTATTTTGCACTGAATAACTTATTTTAAAGTGAAAACCACTTCTTTGTAACAGAATTTTTTAAGATGAATTTTTTTCTTTGCTTATCAATATTTTTAACGGTGTAATTGTCTGAAGAATCTGATCGTAAATTTGAGGTATACAGACTCACATATGATGAAAATCTTGAGTGTTGGTGTTGACTTTTTATGCTATATGAAATAAACTTATAAAGCATATTTAACTGGAAGTGCTTGAACTTTTCCGTTTTTTATACTTTAGCTCTTATTGCGGAAGTTATCTTGTACTCTGAAGGTTTTGAATCATCGAAAACACTAGCTCATAAAATGACACAAATGTACAAGTTATGCTCTGAGCAATTATCACAACAAGATCATTATGACTTTGGTATGCGTGCCATAAAATCTGTTTTGGTCATGGCTGGTTCCTTAAAGAGAAAAAATCCAGATAAGAGTGAGGAGGTTGTTCTTCTTCGTGCTTTACATGACAGTAATCTTCCAAAATTCCTGACAGATGATGCAGTTTTGTTTGAAGTAAGCAGTATGATTTTTTTCTCTATATTTGCTAGACCTGAAATGTATTACTAATTTTATGTTTTGTTAACCAAGATTACATCGTTTTACGGATTAGCGAATGGTAAAGATAGCATTTGTTTATCAGGATAAAATGTTTAGCTTTGTATCAAAATGTGGACACAAATATGCCTTTTGAAGGAAAAAACATAAAATATTACACATAAAAGACTAATAAATTTATTTCATTTTCAGCGGATGAATCTAAAGTGTAAGAATAAAATATTAAGCTAATTTTCCCCTCAATACTGATTAAGGCTTATTTTTGCTTTTTCTTTTTCAAATTGTAAACTTTAAATACCTAATCAAATTACTCAATTTTTCACCATAAAAAAATTAAGCCATTCATTATATACTTTTTTATTAATAAACCTCAAAGTTCATTAAATTAAAAAAAGTATTTATCATATATGTTTGCTTTCAAACTATTTCTACTGCGATAGCTATACATTTTTCATGCACTGAAAACTTTTAACAAGCAGCATTGGATATTTGAAGTTTATTTTAAGTCAGTTTCTTTGTTTGTGTATCTAGATAAGTTTAATTAGCTTATTTTTCTTGCTCAATATAAGTTATGGTTAAATGTAATTTAATCAATGCTCCATATCATATTGTACTTGTCAATGTATCAGATTTATTCGTGCTGTACCACCATTTCTTTATTACTCATTTAGCACAAGTAATTTGACTCATTAGTTTAATGTGAGTTTATGACAGCTAAACATAATTTATTACGATGGAGAAGTTGAATTAGACATAACAGTAGATATTATTTTGTCATGCCCATGAAATTATTAATCACAGTAGAAATTTAAGCATTAAAAGTAGAGAAATCAACACTTTCTGTTTTTCAAGAACAAAATTAAAAATGCTTCTTATTTGACCCGTACACGTATATTTTCTTCTTAAACAATACACCCAATAGTTTGTTGCTAGGTTTTAATCCCGTGTTGGTTATCTACCATTTGCATATGACAATTAAGGCAGATTCTTAGTACACTGAAATCGAGTTGAACAGAAGTTAAATGTTAGTGTAAATATATTTATGATTGTCATTAAAAAAAGTAATAGTTTTCTATACAAATGAAATGCAGACTGTTTTGTTCATAAATAATTTTAATTATATATGATTTATACTGCTCAGTGATTTAAAAGCGTGAACCTTATAAAAATATTGCATATTTTGTGCAATAAATAAGTAAATTCTCTGGCTATTAACTTGTAATTGGTTATTTACTGAAGTTTATTTGGCATAGTCAATACATGTTAGTAATGACCAGGAAGGTGGAGACCAGAAACTAACTGCCAAAAACATTAAAGTTATTTCTATAGTACAATACTTGCTTCTTAGAGTATTTGCATCTGTTAAGAGCTTATATTGTGAGGTAAACATACATTTTGAAAAGGTTCAGTATATTATTATTAAGCAAGTAGGATCAAAAGGATATTAATGTGAATTGGGTTTGTGTAGAATTTCATGCTGTCTAATATTTGATCCATTCAAAATTTCAAAAACTTAATATACCGTGTAAGTTTGATCAGATTTTATTATAGATTTCTTTGAAAAAGGGAAACAAATGTAGTATCATTTGTAAATTTTCACAGCATATTTTATATATTTGTGTCAAAAATAGGAAAGAATACCTTTGAATTTAAGGTCAGATATAGCAGTCATTAATCTACAAAAACTATAACTGTTCCTCATGGTGGCAAGTTGTGTTATTTATCATTATGAGATTCATATATTTATGTAAGTTG